ATGAAGTATTTTGCTCCACCTATATAAAGATCGCTTCACCCCAACTTCTTCCTCGTCGGCTTTTCCCACGTTTTCACAGCAGATTTATCAAGAACAGGCTTGCTCTGCGGTGAGTGATGCGGGCCAAAGAGCAAGGCAGGAGGAGAAGAAGAGAGTAGTTGAATTGTTAAAGTGCTTGATAGGGACTCGCAACAGAGGCAGGCAATATATATGGGCCGCCTGGACCAAAAAATGCCAGGGCCGATTTTTTGTCCCAGTCCAGCCCTGACTTTGTCTATGATGTTACGGTCTGGACCGATTGTTTACTTCCAAAAATCCGGAAATCCATTTTTAACCAAATTTCAAACCACATACATATGAGGTTTGGATCAATTTTTTCAGTTTCAGTTCAGACAACAAGCAACTAAATGTATTTGAGTTGGATACGCCAAGAAATCAGATTTTTTTTGCTGCCTGCTGAAAAAAGCCTTCACTAAACCCTGTCAAATCCAATGCAACACTTCCAGACTGGATTAGCAAATAATCTTCTTCATGGCCCTTAAAGCCTGGCCTGCCTTCACCCAATGTATTGATCAGGTGATTGATTATGTAATGAATTAATAACCGCTTTAGAGGAGACGATAGAACACAGATGCTTCACAAAAACAATCGCTCATTTCATCAATGCATGATTCGCCTCATCTGATGAGCCAGTTTCACACAGTCATATAATGTTTAATAAGCAGTGCTAAAGAGGACTTCAGAAGGAAGTAACAGCTTATAACAGGAAGGATAACAAAGGAGGGGTCCAAACATGTCAATCAACACAATTATTATGAGAGGCGAGAGGTCGTTCTCTAATTTCTCAGCAGCTAACCTCTTTATACCAAGAATAGCAGCCAAATCAATGTACTCAGAACTGTAGTGACTCATATTCACGTGTTCACGGGGTCAGGGAAAAGTTATCTAATAAAAAAGAGCCACGCTTGTGAAAAAGTAGTGCTAATTGTATTGATTGTGCACTTGTAGTGCAGTGTGTTGTTAAAAAACTGCACTTGCAAATAATATAATAGTAATGATTTAATGTTATTAAAATGTTAAATATAATGTTAAATTATCTTAGAGTGCATTTTAAATAATTGTTTTAATAATATTGTGTCATGCTTTTAAGAAGTACATTTATTTTGACACAATATGCTTAATTATAATTTTAACTGTAGCACGATATTCAAATAGAATATTTCAAGTTAATTGCAACTTTGTGACTGGAAATGTGTAACTATCTAAATGCAAGACACAAGATTCAAATGACTTTAAATGGTTAACTAAAGATTTGAGTTCATCTTAAATCAGTACACTTTTTTTCATAAACAATAGAAATAATTATGAAATTACAAAAAAGGTGTACTTAGAAAAGCACTCCAAATAGAACCTATTAAACTATAAACGTTCCATTTGGTTGTAGTATATTCAAATATAAAGTATATTCTTTTAAATATATTTCCATAATAGAAACTCTGTTTAAAGTGTGCTAAAGCATGCTTATTTTTCACAAGGGCACATAGTCCTGTGTTGGTATAGAAGAAAATCTAACCATAAATACTGAATACACAGGCAGCGTGTGAGCCATATGTGGCTTAAGAAGGTATAAAACCCTCTTCAGATCGCTGAGTGTGGCGCTTGTGAATGGATTACTGTTCACTCAGCCACGTAACGTCTGTTCTCTAGGAGGGCAAACACCCACTACAACTGGATGTGGCAGAAGAGAGAGGATTTATGGTCCCATTCACTCGGTCCCTCTCTTCCTCCATTATATCCTCCTGTCTTTTTGTTGGCCCCAGGGCCACGGGCTGCCAGGATGTATCTGTATATCCATTGATGACGGCTGAAGGCTGTGTTCTGCAGGCAGATGTCCTCCCTTCCACTGGGTAAAACCACAGTAAAAACCCCTCTGCTCTTTGATACCTCACCCAGACTTCCAAACATCTGCAGATCATTGGCACTGGAGATCTCAAAACCAGTGCTCTGCACAACTCAACAATGTCTTTATGATCAGGCCTAAAAATAGCCTGCTTTGTTCTTTACTTGCTCTGAAGTTCTAGGTGAGAAAAGGCCTCTTATATATTGCCATGGAACTGATGGTGAACCATTTGTGCTGCAGACAGGAGCGATATCTAAATCGTGCAGCTTGTTGAGGAAGTGTGCTATTACTTTGTGATTGGATTTACGTACAAAGCAGATGAAATAAAAATCCCACTGACATTGACGGAGGGAGACCAGAATATCCAACACAATCTCATGGCAATTTGTAACTGTTTTACATTTTGGTGAATTGGTGGCTAGTTTACACCCCAGTCGTGGTTATTTTTAGGGGTGGACCTTCATGCTTTATGTTTTTCCAAAAATCGTTTTCATACGATTCACATTGCACAAATTCATACAACTTCGGCACCTCATAAAATAGCTATGTTTTCCCATGAATTCGGGTTGGAATATTATAGAGACTTTGTTGTGGTCACCTTGAACACACTATCAACCACAAAACAACACCCTGGCAGCACTTTATTATGGCAGCAAGCTCTGCAAAAGCATGAAAGAGAGCCTTCTGAAAATGTAAAAATCTGTTTCAATCTGTCAACATTTCCACACTCCCAATGTCCGTGAGTTCCAACTATTATTCTTTCTGTAGTTTGTGGGTTTTCTCTGAAACTCTTTGTTATTTATCAGCCTGTGCTTGCAGATATGACCTTCAGCTCAAAAACTGAGATACTTCACACACTTCCTCCAAAGAACCTCACCTTGAACCACGCTCACATTCAAAAGACAGAAATAAAGGCATGCAGCACAGTTGTGTACACTGTAAAAAATGATTGTGATTTTAACAGTAAAAGACTGTAAAAATGCTACAGTAAAAACCTGTTAACTGGTTAACAGTAAGTTTCCATACTATATTCGGTGAATAAATGTAATAACATTTAATGTGATTTTACAGTAAAATAATGTTAAAAATATGGTTTTTGGAAGTGAAAAAGAAAAAGTCATTGTATAATTTACAGTAAAAAAACGTAAGTTGACACTCCTAGAATTCCCTGCATGAGGCTTCATATTTGATGTTTTTTTTTGTTGAAATAACATGTTTCTTCTTAGTTTTTTTCTTATCAGTTGTGTACA